GTTCGATTCTACTACCTCAAATAAAGTGTTACCTACTTTAACAACGAGTTTTGAGTCGATTAAATGATAGTTTACCATTCACGATAGAATAAAACATAAATATGAAAAAATTAATTGTATAAATTGAACTCTCAAAAACAAATAACATTTATGTCATACCAATACATTATTGTATTTTTATACCTTAGATACCATCTACATAATTCATTACTTTATGCCCGTGCTGACATAAAGTACACATTATGGCCCGCGCGGGCATAAAGACGCAAAAAACAGTTTTCAATTAACTTATTTTTTATTAATAAAATATAAATTTACGCTTATAAACATATTATTTTTGTCAAAAAATGATGATATTTGCACACTGATGACAATTTGCGAAGTGACACTTTTTTCCCAGGTATTTATTATTCACAACCAACTGGTATGACATAAAAGTTTGTATGCACCACGGGTACTAATAGATACTACCCTCGGGCGACTTACGAACCCCTCGGGCCATAATCATCCACTTAGTACCCTTGATACATAAATAATTATTATTCAACTGACCTGTGAATGTTCCGTATGACACACCAACTAATCACAAATTGTATTGCACAATCAGTTTAATACAAAATAAAAATTGAATAATGAACAATGGCTATCTCTAAAAATAAAGGGTGTTTCCATAAGAAAGTGTCCAATTTGGACCACCCTGTACATAACTAACAGAATTGACTATATTCTGTTTCTGCTAATCTAAAAACCATAATAAACCTTAGTAGAAGTAGGTAGGAACCTACTTTGGACAATATAGTTTCGGTAAAAAATAAAAAATAACACAAAATAAATCTCACCTTTTAAATTTCACTTTTCTTATTTCAGTACTGAAGTAGAATGCATTGGAAATTAAATATTCCATGTTCACTTATTCACTTGGAGTAAATTTGCAGAATCGGCTTTCTCGAATCCTTGTTCCACAACTTTCAATTTTAACCTCGATTTTAAAACAACAAAGTCTTCACTTCACTCTTTGAAAACTACAATAAAAAGCACAAAACAGAAATGTTTTATTTACAAAAGGTACCCTTGCCCTTTTGGTCCCAGATGATGTCGATGTAGGAAGGCGTAAAAGATAAAGCTAAAAAATAATCCGCGTGTCTGTTTTCATCAATTGAAATTGTCAAATAAATAGGCTGGAATAGAAATCGATAAACCGCATTTATGTTGATATTTTTTTCCTCTTTTATCCTCTTCATTCAACTAGAAAGAAAAAATGTCGATAGAAAACAGCTTAAGCCGGTAAATCGGACAACTAAGCGCGTTCTGATTGGTGCAAAATCTGTTGGACTATTTCAAATATTGCCATTCTTTTCCCTTGAATATCTCCCTCAATAATTTTTTAAAAAATCAACTACATAGCCCTTTTAGGTATTTTATCGGATAAGTTTTCAAACCATATGAATGAAATACTTAAATTGAGTTGAGTGGGAAAGACCCATTGTCGATCAAAGAACCGAGGTATGCAAAACTCTGGACTAGCTGACGATAGCCCACTAATGTTATTTCAGGATAATTGTCATGTTCCCTATCAACGCATGATCTTGGTCCTATTGTAGTGGATACTGAGACCACATGCAAAAATTAGATTTTAAGTTTCACTTCCAAATACCCATATTTTAAGGATAAATGTTTACGTTTATGTGTATTATGACTAATTTACTTATAACTATGTAGGTTTTGTATTTATTTGCAAAAGACATTTTTTAAATATTTTGAAATTGTTTTTGTTGATTTCTCGTAGGTACCTAAAAAGCATTGGTAATTCTAACAAAACACATTGTTAGAAGAGCAATAATTGGCATTTAAAATCTAAGCATAAGTGTATTACTGTTCCAACAAATGATGTGATTGTAGATAATATATAATATGGTTTGGAAATTAGTAAAAAGGTACATTGTTATGTTATTAAGGTTAAAAATTCAATCTGAGAATGAGCAATAAGAGTAGTATCGTGGTGGACAAACCTTAAATTAGATATCTTGATTCCACCGCTGTGCCAACCGTCCAGTACCTATCTGATCACAAATTCGGAATAGATTTTAAACAACATGGACGATAATACACATCCCTGACGAACTGCTTTTCTTGCTGTAATCTTATCAGACATGTTACCGTCAATTCTTACTCGAGCTGTGTTGGAGTCATAGAGCTATTGTATGAGAAATATTAGGTGGTAAGGAACTTCCATAGAGAGAAAAATTTCCTCTAGTTTACGTTGTCAATTGCCTTAGAGTATACCACAAAGCAGATTGGAAAGTAATACTCTCTGGATTTTTCACTGATCTGCCTGCCTCAAGTTCAAGATCTGTTCGCGTGGACCACGTCCCTTTATGAAACCTGCCTGCTCTGGAGATATTTGCTAGTCCACAAAACTTCCAAACGAGACTACAGAATATACAGCATAACCTCAATGAGAGTAGACGATAATTGTCTGGCTTTACCGGAAATTCCTTTTTATGAAGTGGAACAAAGCTTCAAGTGCTTCATTGTCTGGCCAGACATCGGAGAACCCAACTTTCTGACACATACGATGTAAAAAATGTAGGCCGTCATCATCCAAGTACTTTAACAGAGTTTCAGCAGAAAGGGCATCAATGCCTGTAACTTTACCGGCTTTTAGTTTCAACGGTATGTTCCACTTCCGAAAAAAGACTATCCGGCTCATGTTAGTAATTGAACAACGGGGCTTGGAATAAAATTTCTCACAATATGTACGCCACACCTCAATGACCTCGCTCAAGCTGTTGATGAGGCGTCCATCGGCGTTCTCGGACCAAATGTTGGGTTTTAAGTCGCGACAGAGACATTTTATATTTAGGAACATCTCTCCTGGATGGCCTGTATTAACGCATGCCTAATTCCTGAAGAGAAGAGGCAGAGTCTTTGGATTTGACGTGCTAATTGTCTACACCTATAGTGCTTGGCATAAGAATTCAGAGCTAAGATCTTGAACTCGTTACGTGCCTCAATGACGGACAACATATGGTTGATAAATTCTGGCTGTTTAGGTTGAGTGCTGCGTTTTAGTTGAAATATTTGGGCAGCTTAATTATGAACATTTTTCAATGTCATCCACATATTATTAGCTTTCATTCGTTATCGAGGCACTTTGAAAAAGCTGAGAAAATTTTGACCGAAGCGGGGCAGGGTTAACTATCTCTGTTGAAAGATTCCGCTCAGAACGTAGACATATCTCAAGTTCACAAAGAAGGAATTGACTGTCTGAGCAACAATCGGAACCTAATAGAGTTTTACAAAAACTAATAGATGATCTCCATCGTGTTCAAATCAAAGTGTAATCGATTTGCTTGCGATAAAGTCCGCGTGGTGAGACACAGGTATACAGAAAACATGAATGTAGTGCAAACAATGTTGGCAATAGAGGAGCTAAGGTCGATACAAAATTGTAGTAGATTGTAGCGCCTTTTGTTTCTGGTACCAAGAACGAGTTTACCAATATGTGTCCTAAGATGTTCATTTTCTACTGTTTGACCAACTTTAGGGTTAAAATCTCTAAAAACAAGGATCATCTCGCGATATGATAGAGATTCGACTCAAGGTTGTTAGCGTGATTATCTTTTCTGTTAAATAAAATTTACAATTAAATCTATAAAGTACTGTAGCGCCCGCCCTGGTATCACTGTTTAAGATGTTGATTGTTGGCGAGCGGTTTCCAATTTATTACAGATTTTTACCAGAATAGCTACAGTGGTAGGGTTCGTAATTGCTAGGGGTGGAAATAAGTACACAAATCCTCTGCATTTCAATGGTTAATATCTCTTTGTTTATATAATCAGGTAAACAAACTTCTTTACTCCAAGACTTAAGTGCTTATCTCTTAAATTAGTAACATTTCATCAAGTCCTTTAAAAAGCTTTGCTTTAAAATAGTAACTTCAATTTCAAAAACATTTCAAGTCCCTTATTTATTTTCAATCGCTAAGTACTTTATACTCTAGTAAAAAAGTTTTTTCTGGGCTATAATGCCGTGGTCCATTAGTATTTCTACCTAACGTTTCGTCTACTGCTGCGGTAGACATCTTCAGAGACGGTGTGGTAGAGGACGTAGTGTTCTCTTCCGTGGTTCTCCGATGACTGAATTCGACGTTGAGGGAACTGCGTTATTTACGGTATTTTCCTTGTCTCGTTCTCGGAAAGGTATAGCGCTACTTTGGTTTTCCGGTAAGAAAGCGGTCGGTTCGGGGTTTTCGAAAAACTCGGGCGTCACCCTTAGGATTAAAGTGGTTAAGGGCCCACGTGCACTAGGTAGCTTTTAAACAGTGGAGACGGAAAAACCAGAGGTCTATGCGCACCTTCCCCAAAATGAAACACACAATATCCAACAATGTAGTTTTTATTAATTCCCAAAAGTAAATAACAATACGAAACGGATGAATGTAAATACGAGGTAGCGTGAATGAAAATTAAAGTGAGTGCGAGAGAGAGAGAGAGTGTGCGAACGAATACTGGCGGGTGAATTACGTAAATGAGAAGCGACGGAAATGAAAGCCCCCACGGTACGGTAAAACGGTTAGATGACGGTAAAAAATCGGAAAGAAGCTCCAACGGACATTAACGGTCGGTTCCGTCCCTTCAGCGCCGGCTTGGTTAATTAATCTGGCTTGTTAATAATCTGGATAGAGGGATGAGCACTTGCTACACTGATACGTAAGGACTGAGAGCGCCACCGTGTAACGTGCTCCAATCACATGGCCCCCTCGTGTCCGTCCTGGAAAGAATAAGGTAAACCTCATTCAATCCAGGTGTGGGAGCACATATTCCAGATAGAGCGATGAGTACTGCTATACCGATACGTAAGGACAGAGAGCGCCACCGTGTAACGTGTTCCAATCACATGGCCCCCTCGTGTCCGTCATGGAAAGAATAGGGCCACCGTGTATGTGTTCCAATCACATAGCCCCATTCAATCCAGGTACGTCGCAGCATATAAGCACCTCACTCACCTGGATTGGACTCAGCAACGGTCGGGTCGGCGCTGACGGTTCGGAAACGGTATTAGCAGCTTACCTCGGTATGGGTAGGTAGCTGCTGGTCTGGTCGGTACGGCGGACGGAATTCACTGTTCTTGGCCATGTTCGCTAGTTTTATAGAAAAATCCCGGCGGGGGAAACGCGTCGGTAGTAGGAATTGCTAGTGGGAGAAGCAAAGGCTCGATGCACGTCGCGCGAAATTGTACCGAAGCCCGTGACTGAAACGGCATCAGTTGATCGCGAAAAGCAAGAACTCTCGGAAAAGCCTATTTTCCATGGACCATTTATTAGGAAAATAGGTTAAATGAAATCGCGTTATTTTATTAAGCAGTTTTAAAGAAAGAACGGAGATTGTAGTCAGTCTAATACGGAAATACGGAAAAACTCTAGTAACGGCGTTACAAAGGAAGGGTCTTTGGTTTTCGGAGAACTGGCAACCAGCTTTTGTTGAGGTTCATGCCCTCTTCTTTTCTGTTGAAGTTGTTGTGGTGTTTCTGTATCTCTATGGCTTCTCTGTGGAGCCTGGTGTAGAAATTTTTGGTTCTATCCAATGCTTGAGTCTGGTCGAAACAAATGACATGGTTTGTTTGTGTAAGCACGAGTTCGACGATTGCTGATCTATCTATTTGTCCTTGCTGACAGTTTCTTTTGTGCTCTTTGACCCTGGTGTTGATAGAGCGTTTGGTTGTTCCTACATAGAGAGATCCACAAGAGCAGGGAATTCTATAGACGCCAGCCGATTCATAAGGTGCCCTAGGATCCTTGGCTGATCTTAGACTTTGCTGAATTGTCCTTGTGGGCTTGTAGATAGGCTTAACGTTGTGTCTTTCTAGCGTTCGTCCTATGCGATCTGTGATATTTTTGATATAGGGAAGAAAGGCTCTCCCTGCCACCTGTGCTGGTTCCTTGTTGGTTGTGTGCTGTTGCTTCGGTAATATGGCTCTATTTATCTCCTGCTTGGAGTACCCATTTCCTTCAAGTTCTGATTTTAGGTGTTTCATCTCGTCCTGAAGGTATCTGGGTTCACAAATCCGGATTGCTCTGTCAGATAGAGTTTTAATGACTCCTCTCTTTTGCCTAGGATGATGATTAGGTTCCATGTTGAGGTATCTGTTCGTATGCGTCGGCTTCCTACATACTCTGTGTCCCAGTTAACCTGAGGGTAATCTTTCTAAGAGGACGTCGAGGAATGCAATTTTGTTATCGTTCTCAACTTCCATCGTAAACTGTATCCTGGGTTCTATTGAGTTTAGATGATTAAAAAAGTTTTCGAGCTCTGCCTCTGCATGGTTCCAAACAACAAATATGTCATCTACATAGCGAAACCAACAAGTAGGTTTCTTTGTGGCCGTTCGCAGTGCCATTTGTTCGAAATGTTCCATGTAGAAGTTGGCGATAACCGGGCTGAGTGGACTTCCCATTGCGACTCCATCTGTCTGCTCAAAGAATTAATTTTGCTATTGAAAGTAAGTAGTCGTCAGACAGTGGTGAAATAAGTTGTTGATTTCTTCTGGAAAAACATCTTTCAGATACTCTAAGGCCTGATTTACTGGTACTTACCTTAGTAAACAATGAGACGACATCAAAACTAACCAGAATCTCGTTTGGTAATAGAGTGATATCACTGATCTTCTCGATGAAATGAGTTGAGTCCTTGACATAAGAGCTGGATTAGCCAATCCGTGGTTGAAGGAGGGTGGTGAGGTATTTCGCTATGCGAATCTATTGCACTTACAATGGGCCTGAGTGGGTTGCCTGTTTTGTGAATCTTAGGAAGCCCATATATTCTAGGTGGTAAGGCCTCAGATTTGATGAGTTTCCTTATGTTTTCCGGCTCCAACGGTGCTTACACGAACAAACCATGTCATTCGTTTCGACCAGACTCAAGTATTGGATAGAACCAAAAATTTCTACACCAGGCTCCACAGAGAAGCCATAGAGATACAGAAACACCACAACAACTTCAACAGAAAAGAAGAGGGCATGAACCTCAACAAAAGCTGGTTGCCAGTTCTCCGAAAAACAAAGACCCTTCCTTTCCGAGAACGATACAAGGAAAATACCGTAATCCAAGCCACGCCCCCAACCCTGGATATAAATAACGCAGTTCCCTCAACGTCGAATTCAGTCATCGGGGAAACATGGAAGAGAACGCTTCGTCCTCTACCACACCGCCTCTGAAGATGTCTACCGCAGCAGTAGACGAAACGTTAGGTAGGAATACTAATGGACCAAGGCATTATAGCCCGGAAAAAACTTTTTTACTAGATTTGACCGGTCGTGAAAGCCTTCATTCTTTATTTACTTTATACTCTTTAAAAGTTTATACGATTTACTAGCATAAAAATAATTCGAGCAGTGAATGCATATTACTAAGAGTCAATGGATAAAGTTTTAAATCAAATCTTTAAAGTTCACAATAATTATTTAAGTACACAATTTAAGTTCACAAGTTAAGTCCACAAAAGTATCTACATTAGTATACAATGTTCATTCTTCTCTTCCTATAGGGGTGTTTTTACTTGTCGTCGTTACGCGTAGTTTATTTTACTACCGATCCCGAATTGAAATGTTCGATTTCTGATAACTACTTCACTGGTTGTCACGATTTAAGAATTTTCTTACTCCGATTCAAGAATTTCCTATTATCGTAACTTTGTTTAGAGATAGACCGAAATTTACTTATTTTACTACATTTTCGGAAACTGACTTATTACTCGACTTTCAACTCAAGCTTACTGACTAAATGACTTCTTTTTACTGTACCCTGTAACTGTACTACCGTTTTAAACGGCATGGACAACTCTTTTTATACACGATTTTTGCGTCATTTCTGCGGCCGCGGCCCTACGTTTTTTTAAAAATCCTTTCCTTTGTGACTTTAAAGAAAGCCGAAAATTTTACAGGTGTTCGTTTTCAAAGATGCCGCTATAATAAATTAGAATCCGTTTTAAATCACTTAAAAATCTCGGTACGAATATGTACATGTTACTTTGTCTCAAAGGAAGCCACCCGCAATAAATTAAATTATAAATTTTTCTCAAGGTGAAACGTTGAAGAGATTTGATTAATCAAATAATATTTTTTTAAGTAACCGAGCTCGTCTTTTTGTGAGCCATTACAGTACGGTTCTGAACTGTCAACCAACAAGAAAGTAGTCAGTCTGGACCAGAGAGAGTAGAGATTCCGATACTATCCAAGGTAAGGTGCACACGAGTTATTTTTACGAGTTTCGATTTCGAGTTTTTACAAGTTAAAAGGTCCTTCGAATTAAAATCATTTACACTTTCACTGATACTTTATAATCATATAAAATTCAAAATCCCAGAAAGATTTGTACGTTGGGTGTTTATCTACAGGGTGTATCAGGTTTGACTACAAAAATTTTTACACGTGATAAAAAGGCCCATTTTGAACAAAAAAAGTTTATGCAACAACTCAACCATTTTTGAGAAAAAGGCCTTTGAAGTTTTGATATTTTTTGATGAATATTTGAAGGATAAAGAAAATTTTAATTATTATGAGATGTAAAAAAATTTAGTTCACACAATTATTAAGTAATTATGTAATTTTAATCAACAACAATAATAAAAAATTCAATAAACAACATGATATTTTTACTCGTAATTCGGTATCTAAACATCTGCAACATAGCACAAAAAAGAATAGGTGGATGAACCTTGGTTGAACTGATCAATTGATGTCTTATCATCTCAGTTAGTTGAAAAATTGGAAACGCGCGTAATTAATTCTTTTTTGAAAATAAAATGTTTACAAATGTCGAATATGCAGACACTTGTTTAGGCAGAATAATTGCAAAATGCTCATTTAGCCGCCAGAATTTACAGGGAAAGATTTCCCAATAGAACGGTACCCACCTAATTAAAGGACATTGTGCCCGTTTTACAAAGATACGAAAAGTGTGAGTGTGCAAAATCTTCGTGTTGATGTTAGTGTTTGGAGAACCTTTCAACAAAAAATAATATTTTCATAATAAGGATTTGGCAAGTAGCTGAGTGAGTATTATTCAATTTTTCTCTTGAAAGTGAAAAAATGTCATTAAGTTCAATTCACAATTTAATAAAACGGGACATTTTTTATTTTTTTCTAGAAAAGTGATAAAAATGAAAATAATTATTAGCATTATTTAGAGGCGAATAACAACCCAAAACGTAAACATGTGGGAATGAATAAACTCCTTTACGAGTTGTATTTAGATTTATATCCTGGCAAAGTTAATTTCTGTACAATGTTGTCACGTTGTTAACATTTTCCTAAATTTATATTCTGCGATTACTTCGATTATTCCACTCATGTATTAGAAATCCCATAAGACAAGTGACGATTTTCAGAATTTTAGCGAAAATTCTCTTTTCCATTTGTTTAACTAGAGATAATTACAGCGATAATTCTCCCATGTTATTGTATACATGGTTGTCATGCTAATTCTTGATACAAACAAACGGTTCCTGATAGCAACCATTTATTTGTATTGATTGTTAAGATGTTTAAATCGTTTAATACATATTTATTTCCATATGTTTTGCATTCTCATACGTGAAATAATCCTCTAAATACCACTTGAGCTTTAAAATGAACCAGATAATTTTTCACTCATGCGTGTTTTCTCTGCAAATTTCACTCGTCCTACGGACTCGTGAAATTTTTGAAAACACGCAATCATGAAAAATTATCGGTAATTTTGAAGCTCTCGTGGTATTATCCCCGAAAATACTAATAATTGATAAATTTAAACTGGTTACATCTCGGAAATGAGAAATCATGCAGAAATGCAGTTTTCACTGAACTATTCAAATATGCTTACGTTGTTTCCGAATTTAAAATTTTTCTTAAATTTCGAGATTATCAAAAAAAAAAAACATAAATGTTCCAAGTCAAAAATAGTATCTTTTATGCTTGGGCTAATGAATTACCAATTTCTATTCAAAATATGGGAATGTTTTTCAAATTCTAATCCATATCCAAATCCTTTTCTCAGGTGCTGCATTTTACTCCTCGTAACTATTTCATCTTCTTACATCCGGACATAAAGCTCTAGCTGATATAAAATTGTTTGAAAAGAATGCTTCCTATATAACGCGTATTGTACGGCATCAGAGGAATGCCAATTTCACCTTCAGAAGTTTCACAGATTCGACTTTCGGACGAGTTCAAGTAACTTTTCAAATTTAAACTTAATCTTACGAATTTGATGGCACGAATCGGCAAA